AGGGAAGAGGAAACAACTTATATCATATTATATATTTTGCAAAGAATAATAATTTCTATTTAATTAATTTCATATATTTGATATTTTTTTATAGGATCGAATATTTTTCTTTAATACTATTTAAATTCTAAAAAAAAAATTAACGTAAATACAAAAAATATGTTTTTTTCTCTCTGTGTCGGTATATTTTATAATCTTATTTAAATTAAAGATAATTTGAGTAACAGTGAAAAATAATAAATGTAAGAATTTTCGGCTCTCCATTTTCCTGAAAGTTTTACGGTATTGTAGTTTCGTTCCTGAATTTAGACAACATCCACCAGCAACAAGAAGTTTGATGTATCCCCATAATTATTATAGTTCACTTCGGGTGTCCTGAATGCCACGATAAAGGATAAATTTTGTTGTCTTATTTTCGAATAAGGATAAATCAGGTTAAGAAGGAGGATGGTAAAGGTAGGCAGAATGGGGGAAAGGGGTGGAGGGGAATTGATATAAGGGATCGGAGAAGGGAAAGGCGAGAAGAAAAGCTTCTTTGACGCGGCATCTAATCCTAATCTTCTTTTAAATCTATCATGAGGTCCTATGACCTCGCACGCTTCTTGGATTTACGAAGTATGCTCGCGGACGTTCAAGGCGTGCTAAGTAGAATACAAAAAGAAAAGGAAAAAGGAAGTTAAAGGAAGGAAGAAGAAGGGAAGGAAGGAGAAGGGAAGGGAAGGGAAGAAAAGAAAAAGAAGAACAAGAGTAGAAAGAAATAGGGCTAAGGGAACTTGGTCTCACGTGCTACCGCAATTGAATAAATTATACAGCTCGTATTTTTTTCATCGAATTATTTATCACCCTGAGACGAAGATAAAAGAAAAAAAAGAAAAAAAGGAAAAAAGAGAAAGAAGAAAAAATAACGAAATAACGAAAGGAAAATTTACGAGAAATGGGAAAACGAATTTACCAAATAGCTTTGGTAATTCAACTTCATTTTTCTTTCCAACAATAAGACTGTGCATCATTATCTCGCGCGTATTTTTATTATATTTAAACTAGATTTGTAGATTTTTTCTCTCTCTTTCTCTTTCTCTCTCTCTCTTTCTGTCGCGCGTATTTAGTTACGGTTTATATTAAGATTAATCGATTCTCAAAAGAATGTTTGTGACACGAACGGTAACAGACGATGACGAAGGGGAACAAGGAAGGTTTTATCGCAATTTTTCAACGCATCGCGGTTGGTACTGTTGATGCGAACAAATATTACAAAAAAAACAATGGGGAAAAAAGGAAGAAAAAGAAAAGGAAAAACAACAAAAAAAGAGAAAAATACGCAAAGGCGGGGTGGTTTTAAATTCATTTTCTTCATTAATTACGAAACTGTGTTGCCGACGTTTTTCAAACCGTTTTACGTATACCGCCGGTGCGTTTTATGTCTCTCCATTTTCGAATTATTTTCGATTCTACTTTACTCTACCGTCAGTTTTTTTCTCTCTCTCTCTCTTTCTCTTTATTTCTATCTCTCACTCTTCTTCTACTTTGCGTGCATATTATTTTGCAAGCGCGGAAACGAAAGATGTTATGCAAGAGCGATGAATATACGGGATAAATATACATATATTAATGATAAGCAGCTGCGAACTTTCTAGAAGTGTGTGTATATAAATATATATATATGTGTAAAATATTCACACACACATATAGTGTATATATATATACAGGACAAACACTTATTTTTCTTTTGAGAAAATGCTAGGAAGCGAATAAACAAACGTGACAATATTAATCGATCATAATGAATTCATTAATTCCTTTAACCAATTTATTATGACATACTTTGACGCAATATATAATTCGTTTTTAAAATAACGTATTCGTACGAGTATCATTCTACATTAATTTGTTATTGTTGTATAGAATACGACCTCTATATAGGTCGGTAGGTTGTTCATAAGATTTGCTTGTTCATCATTTTCCCTTTATTTTTTTTTTTGTTATCATTCACGGAGTTAACAAAATTCCGAAAGAGGAGAGAGTATTTGAAAGTTGAAATCCTTTAAAAAATTACTCTCCAGTCGGGGGAACGAAACAATGTCGTAATTCGCACATCGAAGCTTCGATTTTTTAATCTCTTTCCAATCCTATCCGTTTTCCGCGTTTCATCCTTTCATGAATAATAATGTGGTACCTATAATGAATAAATCCGTAAAATAAAATGTGCTGCGCGAGGGCAGGCTTTAGGGTTGCGTGAAAATAAATGACGATTTTTCTATAATGGGGGAACTAGAATTAGAAATAGAAAAAAAAATATTTATATACACAGAATAAGTTTCCTAACATGATGACTGAATAATGAAGGATGTAGTATATAGGATATAAGGTAAAACTATACGTTACTTCTATAAGTATACCTTACTTCTACCTTATATAACAGCTATTCAGTTACTATATTAGTACATGATAGATGTCACGTGGTATTGTAAGTGCATTTGTATTGTCATGAACACCACTTTGTGTGAAAAAAAAACTTGTTTTATAAATATCATCAGTAATTGAGCCGTTTATTTTGATAGTGGCATAAGTCACTTTTTCAAAAAAATCAAATTAATGGCAACACTAATTACAATTGAACGGTATCTTTTCATTTAAAAAAAAAAAAAACACAAAAAAAGTGACTTATGCCACTTTCAAAATAAACGGCTCAATTGGTAATTATTAAATTCTATTTTGCATAATACTTTATTTTTAAGCAAAGTTTGATGATTTATTGAAATACGAAAATAAATATATATATATATATATATTAGACGTTCCATTTAAAAAATTGAAAGTTATTCTATAATATATTAATGGAAAAGTAAAATAATAAAAAACAGATTAAAACACTGTATGTACATTTAGATACCGTACAATTTTTGTTTGAAACACTTTTTCGTACAACGAATAAATTACGAGTTATTTGAAGGATGTCATGTTAGGTGATTCACCTTGTATATATATGTATATAAAAATAGAAAAATAATTGAAAAAAAATGAAAGCAAAGAGTTAAAAGCAAAAGATAAAAATAGTACAAATAAATTTTATTCAAGGTTCGTTTAGGCGAGTTGTGTTAATGAACAAACGAACGAACGAATGAACGAACGAACGAACGAACGAACGGGAATGCATCGAATCCATTTGAGAATCTCTCGTAAGGTAAGTTTGAAGCTTACGACTACTACTACTACTACTACTACTACTACTACTACTATTACTACTACTACTACGACTACTACTGCTGGTGATGTAGGAGAAGAGATCTCGTTCTGCCAGCATTTCGCGTTTCAATTAGAGTTATATCTCGATGCTTGCGTATATTCTAGCAGCTTTAATACGCACCAACGTTCGAAGTACGTTCCTTTTGAAAAAAAATTTTCGCATTTTCGTTAACTCGTCAAAAATACAACGTCGCTCCGTACGTGAATTTTATTTCTTTTTTTTTTCTTTGATTAACGCTTCACTACAAAATTATTTTAACCTTTTATCAAAGAAACAATGAGATATTAATGACGAAGGGGAAAAGAAAAAAAGATATCAAACATCTCGTTATTTTTCCATCATAAAATTTTTGTTAATTCTCGTGAAAGACAAGGGTCATATACCTATGGGATTTTCGGAAAAGAAAAAAGTCGAAAGAAGAAGGAAGAAGAAGGGTGATGAGAAGAAAAGATTGAATCATCAACTCGTCGAATAATACAACGCGCTGTCTCGTACAATTTTTATGTTTTCTTCGATTAATGCTTCACTACAAAATTGTTCGAACCTTTTATATCAAAGAAATAATGAAATATTAATGACGAAGCAAAAGAAAAAAAGGAAGAAGATATGAAACACCTCGTTATATTCCCATTATGATATTTTCGTTAATTCTCGTTGAAAGATGAGCATGATAATATATGTGATTTCCGAAAAAGAAGAAAAAAAAAATAAAGCAAAAAAATCGAAAGAAGAAGGAAGGTAGAAAGAAAAAAAGGAAGAGGGGTAGTGAAAAGAAAAGACTGATATACACCTAACTAAAAGAAAGAAGTGAAAAAAGAGATAAGGGTGAGAATATCAGAGAATATCAGAGAATATCCAGAGCAAAGCAGAGCAGAACAATCAAGAAAGAAAGAAAGGAAACAAGAAAGGAAGGAAGGAAGAGAGGTGGTGAAAAGAAAAGACTGATATACGCGTAACTGAAGGGAAGTAGTGAATAGGAATAAGGGTGAGAATATCAGAGAATACCCAGAGCAAAGCAGACCAGACCAGACCAGACCAGAGGAACCAATAAAGAAAGAAAGAAAGGAAGGAAGGAAGGAAGGAATATGGATATTGAAAAGAAAAGACTGATATACGCGTAACTAAAGGGAAGTAGTGAAAAGGGATGAGGGTGAGAATATTAGAGAATATCAGAGAATACTTAGACCAGACCAGACCAGAGCAGACCAGACCAGACCAGAGGAAAGCAAAGCAGAGCAAAGCAGAGCAAAGCAGAGTAAAGCAGAGTAAAGCAGAGTAGTGTAGAATAGAGTAGAATAGAGTAGAAGTAGAGTAACGTGGAGAAGAGAAGAAGGAAAGAGAAAGGGGCTGGTGAGAAGGAAGAAGAGGATGAAGAGGAGGAGGAGGAGGAGGAGGTAGGAGTTGAGGGTGTCGCGGGGGAAGGGGTGGGGGGTAAAGGGGGTGGCGATGTATCCGAGGGGGAAGCTTAAGCATAGGGATGCTGTGGGCAGAGAGCTGTTTCAGTCGCGCGACGGCTCTCGCCCCGGCCAGTCGATCGAGCTCTTGCACAAAAGGAAGAGAGAGAGAGATACACGTTTCTCTCTATTTCTCTCCTCTTTCTCTTTCTCCTTTCTCTTTCTTATTATCTTTCTCTTTCTCTTTCTATTTCTATTTCTCTCTCTCTCTCTCTCTTTTTTTATTTTTCTTCTTCTTCTTCTTCGAATACACTGTCATTTTTCTATAATTTACCGCTTTTTTTTTTTATTTTTATTTTTATCATTATATCAATAATAACCCGTTACGATCGTACGTTTTTTGTTTTATTTTATATCCGTAAAGGAAAATCATTTTTACGTAAGTAAGCAGTTCGTTAATTGCGTACCGTGACGAAACGTTGATTCGATGAAAATATTTGGTTAGTTAACTCGTTGTCGATTTGTTGTGCATCGTCGAACATTCGATGCGAGATCGTTTCGCGTATACGACGTTTCGTGGGAAACGAGATAGGGGTGTGGGGGGAGGCGTTCGTGAAAAATCTGGTGTTTTCTTTTTTTCCCTTTTTTTTCCTTCTTTTTTTCATTTGACTTTCGGTGCATTTGGTATCTTTTGTTAACGCGAGACAATCGATGTTTGGTGGATAAGAAGAAGAATAAGAATAAGAAGAAGAAGGAGAAGAAGAAGAAGATCGAATGTACACGGGGGTTAGTGGAGGAAAGAGGAAGATATCCTGCTGCAACAACCACCTGTGTTGTTAGGACAAACTCTGACGCGCCAAGGATGTTGCTCGTGATCAGGGTTGCTACGGATGTAGTTTACCTACGTCTCTGATCCTCCGTTTCTTTTTTTTTTTTTTGACTTTCTGGATTTAAGGATACCAAGGATTACGGATTTACGCGTACGTATTTTTTATGTGTCATTCGATCTTATCATTTTTTATTTTACTTCTTACATCGAAATAATTATCATTCGATACGCGAGAAAAACGCGAAGGTAAGTTATTTTCCCCCAAGTAAGATAAAAATAATAATAATTTTATCGTTACCTATATACTATTATATATTTGCGAGTAAAAAGTGCGCATTGTCCGGAGGTTTATTCGTTTTCTTATATTTTTTTTCCTCTTTCTTTTTCAATGCTTTTATACAAAAATTGTATGTCATTTGCTGTCCAATCCGATCCGGTTGTGTGTGTGTTGTTTCGTTTTTTCTTTTCCTTACTCGCGCAAAGATCTAGCAAATCTTAGGATGGGGGATGGGAGGGTGTGGAGGGGGGTTGAAGAGAGATAAAGAAATTCGAAAAGAACAAAAACTAGTGTTGTGTATGAAAAAGCGGTATTTTCGCGGTTAAAAAAGACTCGCGTGGATGGGAAAGAAAGAATGAAAGAGAGAGAGAGAGAGACAGAGAGAGTGTGAGAGAAATGAGAGGGATGGAGGGAAGGAAGGAAGCAAGATGAGGAAGGAAAAGTGACGCGTCACATGGAACGGTTGGTGCGCTGGATTACTGTGCACTCTTCTTCTCCCTCGTTACCTCTCGACAAGCTCGAATCTCGATTGTTGTTTCCCGTCGTCGTCGTCGTTGTGTTGCGGTCGTTGCTCGCTTTTTCTTTTAACACGAGAAACGTTGCTTTCCACCCTTTCCACTCATTCCACCTTCACCCCCCTCCTCCTCCTCCCTCCTCGACCGCCTCAACCAACTGCAACACCTATTTACTGTTAGCCCTGTTTTTTTTTGTTGCAGTTGAAATCTTTATACGAAACTTTCAATGAGGTCATCCTGCTTGTTTTCGAGTTTATCGTAAAACCAATTACAAATTGGTCAACGTGTTTCGTGAACGAACAACCTCCCCCTCTTCCCCTCCTCCTTCTCGTCCTCCTCTTCCGTTCTAAGTAAGTGTTTCTTTACGAAGTATTTTATAGTAATTTCTCTACATGTAAATTTCGGTTAATATTCGAGCATGTGTGTGCGTGCGTGCGCGTGCGTAAGTTTCTTCTAAACCTTGGTTATATTAGGAGGGAAAAGCTCGTGTGCTATGGAAAGTCGAAAGTTCTGGCCACGGGCACATCCGTTCAGGAAATTGTTTTGCCATCCGGTCAAATATTTCGCTTCGAAACGTTTCCCCTGGTTTTGTAGGTTGGTCGATCGGTCGGTCGGTTTGTCGCGTATATTTTATTCGCTAAATTCTCTCTCTCTCTCTCTCTCTCTCTCTCTTCCTCTTTCTGTATTTTATTGAGAAACAATCCTATATCACGGATATAATATATGTATATATTATATAATATTATATTATAATATAACAATAATAATAATATATATAGTAGTACCATTTATATATATGTAATATGTATAATTTATATATGTTACCAGCAATGTATGGAAAGCAGGCATTCTATCGAATACCTAAGCATTGTATATAATACTTAGGCATTTATAGAATGACAAATGCTATTTAGGCAAAATATGAAAAAGGTCCTGATAAGGCTATATATAATAGCCTATAATGACGTGCATTTCTCAAAAATACAAATGTTTTTCTGATAAAATAAATATTAGATATATATAATATAAATATTATAATAAATAATAATAATAATAAATAAATTTATAAATAATAAAAAATAAAAATACAAATGTTATTCTGAAAAAATAATGGGAGACGTAATATTCGAAACGAATAGAAGATGTAATATTTCATACTTTGCCGGTTTCTCATTTGGCATTCTATAGAATGTCTAGGAAATGTGTGAAAAATGAATACATTTCATACTTTGTCGGCTAGTTTTAGGAATTTTATAGAATACCGGATTTCAAATTTTGCCGGTAACATATATAATAATAATAATGATAATATTCTCTATATAGGGGTTGCGATATTAGTTCGTAGCAAATCGTTTCTAGGGACACGAACACAAACACACTTCATTATACACGTTTATCGATATATATATGTATATGTATGTTATATATCTGGAACGATTAACTTATCATCTCGTTAATTTAATTTTCCCGTTACCTTTATGGTTTCATTAGAAACCGTGATTAATTAGTATATCATCATACCTGCTCGATATTGTAGGTTTAATTACACGCTCTTGGAATAATATTGGCGTCTCTCTACGAACGTACTAATACGACTTCCCCCCTCCCCTCCCCCTACCCCTCCAGCCCCTTTCTTTCCCAGGCCCATTTCTTCCGTTCGTTGTACCTTTTCGAGTTATCGGGAATTCGATCGGAGAAGCCGATTATGTTTTTACGATTTTCCTAGCTTTCTATCTGTTCGCGAGAAAACTAACTTTTCCCAGTCAGTTCGGGACAATTAAATAGTTGCGTTAACTTTTAAACACTCACACTCACGCTCACGTTCACGCTCATAGGTACTTGCAAATGTACAAATTAATTAGCAAATGTTAATTTTGATTAATCGATCGTCATGATCGAAAATCTGAACGAAGTGTCGAATATAATCGATCGAGAATGTCAAAATCGATTTCTCTTCCTTCCTGTTACATCTAACAACGCGTAACATTAGCAATCCGAGCGTTGCAGTAGAATTCGTTCGCGTAAACTAGGTCGAGAAACGGTTTGATTGTTTGTTCCGTGCTCGAAGTCGATTTCGAAAGCTGATACAAATATGTATGTTTCTGGAAAAAGATGGGGAGGTACAAGTGGAAACCCGCGCGCGCGGATTGAAATTTCTACTTCAAAGTGTCTATCTGTAATATACGTGGTGTTTCTATGATGAAACTATAAATGTATGTATTTGTATGCACGTGTGTAGGCGCGTGGGCACGTGTTCGTAAAGGGTCGAATACTATGAATGCGTTTCTCACGGTTGAATTGATTGTAAGAAAGGAAAGAAAAATTTACAGAGAAATGTAAATAATTCCATACGAGTTTTATCGGTTTTAAATTAGCGTGGAAAAATAAAGGGAATAAACGTTGTAGAATTGAAGTTTTCTCGATAGAAAATCCAGAGAGGAAGAGAGAGAAACAGGGATGAAAGAGGGTGAAAGAAGGAATGAAAAGGAAGGGTTGGGAAGGGAAGGGAAGGGAAGGAGAGGTGTAAACATCGATGTTTCACGAGACAGCGTTTGCCACTAATCATATTTTCTCAACCCCCTCCCATTCTTTGTGTCCTTGTAGTAATTAAATAACGCAAATTCGTTCTACATCGATACGAATAGAGGAAGACGAAGACAAAGAGAGAAATAGATAGAAATAGAGAGATAAAGTGAACAGTGGTTGTCGAATCGGCAACTCGTGCGTGCGTACAATCCGAGTCTACCATGTTATATTTCTCTTCGGTAATACAAGGTGTCTGAGGGTTTTTTTTTATTTCTGTAAAAACGTTATTGTGAGCGTATTTTACGCAGAAAAATATGTTTAATTAAAACTGTTACACATAAACATAGGTCATTTAAAGTATTATTGAAAAGTTGTAAAAAAATATTGTAAAGTTGTTTAAATATTGCTCGACCATAATAAAAGTGAATAAAAATTTGACACCGTTGCGTAGTATACTGTTTATCGTGAATTTTGTTCGATTTTCTATTAATACTATTTCTACCGCGGTTTTGTGCATAACTATATCGATCGTCAAGGTATCTTTTAGATACCTTGTTACAAATTTTATCGAGGGGAATATTATTAAAACTAATGATATAATAATTTTAATCAAAATTATATTAAATTTGAAATAATTTGAAATAATTTTCATTTTTCTAATAGCAAATCTATTTCGTTCTACCATAACATCAAATGTAATTATCTCAGTTCTACACACTTTTTGTTTTAGTTTCTCTTAGAAATAAAAATTTAGTTGAGTTAGGTCAAGTGATCTAAACGGTTAAACCATTGATCATAGAAGAATATATAGAATAATTTGAAGATAATAAACATTTAAACAATTTTACAATACTTTTGAATAAAGGGGTACGACTTATATTAATATAATATTTATGTTTCATTTTTTTTTGAACGTAAAATACGTTTACAACGTTTTTACGAGAAAAATCTGGAACACCCTGTAGTTTATTTCTCGATGACACGCATAAAGTGTATCTGCTATCGGTCATCCGACTATCGATTAAAAGCTTAGGCTGCGTGAACTTTGTCGTGTGGTTGTGTGGATGGATTCTTGATGGAAGGCAAATTAATGAATGACAAATTAACAACAGGACGTGAAGAAGAAAACGATTATTAACGTTCGTCGATTTCATTATTATTTCTTTTTTTGTATCTCAAGTGACAAAAAAAAACTTATTGCAACGATCTGTTCGTTTTTGTCTGTCTCTTTCTCTCTCTTTCTCTCTATCTCTCTCTCTCTCTCTCTCTTGATCGAGCATAAAAATGGAATCTGATCGGAACACGGATATGCACACATTCGATGCTTTATTAATCGATAACTTCTCATGTTTTTCCTCGTTTTAGCAACCCCTATTCGTTCGACGAGTATATAAACCGTACCAAATGATCTCTCGTTTAAAGAGCAAATAATCAAGATTGAAATTTTGCAAATCATTGCTAGTAATTACAATGATTACATAGTTGTTTGCAAATAGATGAAATGTGACGATAATTATGGAGGTTGTCTTAAAAGTTTAAACTAAAAATAAAAAATAAAAAACAAAAAAGAAAAAAGACAAAAATTTGTCGTGTTATCAGTTATTTCACATTAAATTATTTTAAACTGAGAAGTTATTTTGACGATATTATTAAAAATAAACTTTTACGTAATGCTAGTTATTTCAATATTAATACGAAAAACATTTATTGTTCACGCGTAATCTTTTAAAAAATATCTCGAAACAAGAGATTCGATCATTTTCATATAATTATCGAGTACGAATGTTAAAAAAAAAAAAGAAAGAAAGAAAGAAAATTTGTAATAATTATATC